TGGTGGTCTCCAATAGGAGTCCAAGATGGTGGATCCATGCTGCATTAGCTGGTAGGGGACCTCTGCATGAATCTCTCCTCACTCTCCGTTCTCTTTCAGTATTCTCATTCCATTTGGTGCTCGGCTGAGTTCTTTATCTCTTCATTTGATGTTCTAGGGTTTCAGGATTGTTGATTCTGTTTGGCTTAGTTTTTCGGATCTTTGCTGTGGAGGGACAGCGTGGTGATTCTGCCTAGAGCGCCATGTTGCCGGACTCGTCAAGTCTATTCTTAAGATAGTCTCTAATTTCAGGTAGGATATACCCAAGGTCGTACTTTGGCCTTCGTGGTCTTTTTCTCATTTTCTTCAACTTCAACTTGAAGTTGCATATGAGCAGTTGATGATCTGTTGTGCAGTTGATTACTGATTGAAGTTTGCAACTGTTTCTTCCCATTTTGAGTCGTGCCATATCAGCAAATGAAGTTCCATCTGCGTCATTAAGGTTAATTCTACTTTGAGGGTCAGCTCTTCCCCAGTCATCTTTGAGTGTCTTCCAACCTGAAGGACTCATCCTCTGGAACTATATCAGATAAGTTCTTCTGCTATTCATAAGGTTTTCACTGGCTAATTTTTTTTTTTTTGTAAGTAGCCTGCCAGGTCCTTATTCATAGTGTTAGTCTGGAATCTCAGCTGAAACCTGTCCACCATGGTTGACCCTACTGTTTTTCGAATACTAGTGGTGTAGCTTCCAGAATCACAGCAATTTGCAAGCCCTCACAGTAAACTGAAAGACGTGTGATGGGTAAGGACATTATAACTGTATATTTCTGTCAAGCCAACTTCTGAGGTCAACAAAAAAAGCACAACTTACACACGGTCATTGTATGGAACAATGATTTACTCATATAAGCAAGAGACAGAGCAAGGACAGCTTCAATATTGGGTGCCAGTCCTCTATGGCTTGTGGGTCTCACTCTGCAGCTGATGGAAGGATGGTGGTCTTAATACAACCATCTTTTGTGTAGCAGTTGAAGAACACTATTTCCCCCTCACCAGCAATGGATCTAGAAATAGGATTTTCCAAGTGCCATGTGATGTGTACACACAAGCAGTTTATGGGAATGTTGCATGTGTTCAGGGTAAGACATAAGGGATGTGTTCTTGTCCATCAGCTACTATGAAATGTGTTTTGGATCAAGGTAACTTGGGTAAAGGAATCATACCACATGCTCATTTCATCCAAGGAGCCAAGCTGACACATCTTGTCCTAAGCACAAGTTTCCATTGTAGGTCAAAGGGAAAGTTAGCAGATTGCACTTGGATTGCCCCTGCCACAATTTCTTATTCGTTTCTCCTATCCCTTGTCCCATTGCGCTTCCATTCACTTTGGCTTATGCTGTAAACATAATGCATGGCTCTTATTATTGTTTTAAGAATTATATTTTACAGTAACTAAAATAAATATATATAATCTTTATTTATTCCATTTGATACTTTGTGTAGATTCAAAGTTTTGGCTTATATCAGAATTTCTCTTCCTGTAGAATATTTTTAGTAATTTCTTGAAGAGTTGTGTTGGCAAGAATTTCAATCAGTTTCTGGTTGTCTGAGAAAATGTTTATCTGTAATTTACTTTTTAATTTTTTTATTGTAAATATTTATGAAACACTAATTTGACTTTTAAACCTTCTTCACATGTACAATTCGGCAGCATTACATGGGTTTATCATGTTATTCAACCATTACTATTGTCCCTTTCCAAATTTTCCCTTAGCCTTTAACAGAAGTTAGGGTGGAGAATTCTGGGTTGATTTTTTTTTTTTTTTTTTTTTACTCTCATCCCAACAGGAAATACATGACTCTATCATTTCTTTGCTTCAACGTTTTGAAGAGAAGTCTGCTGTAAAGAATGAAGCATGCACTCTTTTCAAGACGTTCTCTGTCTTTGGCTTTAAGTAGGATTTTTTTTAATCATTATTTTATTGTGGTAAAATATATATAACATATTTTCTTTTCAATTTTAACTGATTTAAAGTTTTAATTCAGATATATTAATTAGATTCACAATGTTGTGAAACTTTCATTCCTATATACTACCAAAACTTATCACTGCAAACAAACTCTGTATTTATTAAAAATAACTCCCTATCCTCCCCTTCCTACAGTCTCTGGTAAACACGAATATACTTTCTTTCTATTCTAGGTATTTCATATAAGTGGGTTTATACATTATTTCTAATTTCATGTTTGGTTTCTTTTACTTAGCATAATGTTTTCAAGGTTCATCCATGCTGTAGCATGCATCAAGACTCATGTACTTTTTACGGCCTAATGATATTCCTTGTAAATATACCTCACATTTGTTTATCCAGTCATTTATTGATGAACACTAGATTGTTTCACTTATTGACTGTTGTGAATAATGATGCTATTAAAATCAGTGTGCTTGTATCTGTTTGATTCTCAGCTTTCAAATATTTTGGGGAGAAATATAGGAGTTTAATTGTTGGGTTGTATCTCTCTGCTGAAGTTATCTATTGCCCTCACAGTCTACCTTTTCTTTTAGGTCTTTTAACATATTAATCATACTTTGTTTATATTTCATTTTTAATTTTATAGTTCTAAAGTTTGTTTCAGGTGTGAATCTCATTTTGATAATGTGTTGATTATGATTGTCTTCTTGCTCTTTGGTATTCCCCATAATTTTTGTTGAAAGATAGACATGTTGACTAGGACAGTAAATACTGACATATTATTTTACGCCTTATTTTTTTCTTGGGGATAAATTCTAGACGAATTCTAGACCTTTATTGTGGAGGTATGCAAGGATCTAGGCAGGACTGCATTTGGAGTTTATTTTTGTCATGGCCCCCAAAGTTAAATTTTGTTTTTGCTGCAAGCACCAGAGACTTCAGATTCTTCTAGTGATTCCCCATTTTTGTCTTCATGCTTGACTTTGGTCTTCACTTTGTGCTCTACCCAGAGATAGTCAGTCTCTCAACTCTTCCCAGTGCATCCCACTGTTAGTTTTACTTGGTAGTGTTTAGTGTTTTGGTGGAGCTTGGGATAAGGGATGTTTTCTCTGATCACCTGAGTATGCTTCATTCGTAGGCAGGAATTGTGAAAATGGGCCTGAGGTGTGCCCTTCCAAGTTTTCCTGCCCCTCTTCCAGAGGAAATGCTAGCATTGAAGCTATTCCTAAACTTTTCCGTGGGACAGATTTTTCCCTCCCTACCTGCAAAGGATTTTCACCAATATCCACAGTTTCCAGTTTTGATATTTTTCCTTTTCATTTGATGTCTTAATACTTTAAGGAAGAAAAGATAATTGGTTCTAGATAGTTTCATTGGTATCCTCTATTCCCCTAATTTCGATGTGATTCCACTTGTGCCTAGATACTTGTTTTAATGCCTTTCCTCAAAATGATTTTTTTTTTCCCTCATTGAGGTTAGGAGAAGTATGTCTGGGGTATTTTAGCAGTGGCTGCTCTTCTGCTACCCCAGGCACCATCATGGAGAGTGAAACAGATACCTTTTCATAGATTATCTCTAGTATTACCAGAACAGTCTGCAAGAGAGCAGGAATCACCCTAACTCCATAGCCCCTAGGAACCTGCACTCTAATATTTTTAACACATTCAGCCTTCAGCTATTGAGTAAATATTTCCAGTTAAATCTTAGAGATTAAATGTCACTTGATGGCATCTGCCTGAGGTAAGTTAATGTCCGTGTCCTTTTTCATCCTGTCCAAATAAGATGTATATTGTTTGCCTGTCGCTTCAATATACTGATGTGTCTCAGAATTTTTTCGTTTGTAGTTTGTCCAAGTTGTTGTAAGAAAATCAATCCTCCCTCACATTTTTGCTTTCTACATCTTCATTCTGAGTAGCGGATTTCATTGTAACAACCAGAAGAGAGAAACAATCCAAATATAAACAAACAGGTGAGTACTTAAACAAATTATGGCATATACATACACGGAAATACTATATATATAGTTTACTGTATACACACAAACACATATATAGCATTAAAATCAATTTGAGCTTCTTAGAAAAAACAATATGGATTCATTATAAGTATGCTGGGTAAAAGAAGCTAAACAAATCAAAGCTCATTCTGTCTTATAATATTTATATATAGATAAATTATGGTATATGAAATAATATGATGGTAACTATGTGTTTACCCAACACATCACATGGCTAGAAATAATTTTTTCCTAATGTTATGACTGATACCAATATCTCCCAAGAACACTCATGTGTGTTCTGAGGCAATGCCCTGTCTGCAGGCATCCAACTACACAGATTGCTGTATAAGTGTACATGCAAATAGAGTCCCTCCCTCTGCTGATAAAAAATAACAGCCCAGCTCCAAATTTCAGCTCTTGAAGAGGATTGTCAACTCCAGGGTTCCCAGGTGTCCCCATTCAGTTATAGGGACTGCACATACTCAAGTCACCATGGAGTCTTGGCTATGCTAGATTTTCCTTGTATCATTTTAAAAGATCATTTTTGCAGAGGTGTTGAGAATATGGGTGGATATGAGTGCAGGAAACAGTGAAAATGTGTGATTTTTTTTCTGACCACAATATCTTTGTGTTTGCAGGTGTACACTGTAATATGCAGCTGATGGAGTCCAGTGGAGACATTAGATGGTCTGGGGGTGGGAGTCTCTGAGACTTTCCTGTCTAGGTCTTGATTCACCTTTAGGAAATTATAGCTGAGCTGTATCTTCCAAGCTCCAGGGAAGGGGATGTACTGTGTTGGAGAAATTAACACTGATGGTGATAGTAAGAACTACACAGACACTGTGAAGGGCCAATTCACCATCTCCAGAAACAATTCCAAGAATGCACTCTATTTTAAAATGGACACTCTGAGACCCAAGGACATATCCATGTATTACTGTACCAGAGGCATAGTGAGGATAAGTCAGTGGGATCCCACACAAAAACCTCCCTGAATTGTGTTAGGACAGGGTGCACTGGACTAACCAATCATGGGGTCATATCAGACTCAGTAGTTTCTGGTATCTATTTTTCTTCTAACACATTTTCTTGGATTCTAAGCTTTGTTCTCACATCTCCCTTTACTACTTCTAGTCCTATAAATGCGTAGTGTGATTTCTGTGGTGTAAATCCCAAGGCTCAGGTCTTTTACCTGGATCTCAGGTGTGACTCAGCCTATGGCTCCTACAGTCACCTGGAAAAGGTTTACAGGACTTTCTCTCTCACGATTGCCCTGAACCCTCCCCACTATACTCTGTGCATAGTCTCATTTGTGAAATGCACATGGTGATTAGTATCTAAGATGATAATAAGTGTTGGTTAAAATGAGATGTAAATGTATAATTGATCTCCTGCTGTTCAGATTTTCATGGAGTCATCTCCATCACCTTTTGCTTTAGTCTGCTCATGGGACCTCATAGTGTGCTGTGGGCTCTGTAGGACAGCACCTAAGTCTTTGTGACCTATGTCCTTATGGTTCCAGCACAGTGACTACAATATTCTGTAGGATAAATAACTACTACGTAAAGTCACATCCTGAGCTGACAGTTTCATCCAAAAACTCCCTGATTCTTCCTTCCACTACTTTCCCAGAATCTCTTCTTTCACATAATTTTTCCTCCACCATTTTAGTGAGTTTGAAGGAGTTTGGAACTATCAACAAAAAAGATATGACCATGAGATATCAGTGTTGCATAACAAGGTATTTATTGGGGATGAAGTATGGTTGGCTGCATTTAATAAGTGGGTGATTCCCCACAGCAGGAGGTATTCAAGACATAAGCAATGCAGGGAGCCAGAAGAAAGGAAGAATGCACAGAAACCTTACGGGAAGAGCAGGAAGAATGGGGTCTACATGTTCCTAGATGATACGTTCTTCTGCAGCAAGGTAGGGAGTTTCTAGGTCAGAGAGTTATGAAGAACAGCAATTGTGAAGTCCCTATAATTGCTGGGTTTTATTTTATCTAGAACTAGTAGATGCCGGACACAGTTTCATGACAAATGGAAAAAAGAGAGCTCTAATTAGCTAAAAATCTGCTTATTGGGGCTATTTATAAAATAATTGGATATAAACATGTTTGAGTTTGGCATTAGAAGTCTTTTATGTGCTAACAGGCCTCAGCTTTTAATGAAGAATGAAACAGCTTTGGGTGAACACACAGAGCCCATAACTGCCTAATTTATAGAACAACCCTTTAAAGGTGAAAATAATTCATGTTTTCCCTTATGCCACTCACTATAAGGAAAGAACAAATTTCAAATTTTGAGTAAGCATTTGGCTATAAATCATATGCACTTTAAAAAATGCTCTTTTAAAAATAAGAGTGCTCCATCTGGAATATTCTGCTGTAGAACTAAGTAAAAGGTTCACTTCATTTAAAGATATCCATTATTGAGTAACTGCTGCACCTATGTCGTGGCACATATGTATCCCATTTCCAGTACTGTGTGTGAGGCATTTCTGTTTCACACATGCTCTGTGGATGTTAAAGAGCTCTGGTGGTGCAGTGGTTAAAACAGTCTACTGTAAACCAAAATATTGGCTATTTGAAACCACTAGCAGCTCCACGGGAGAAAGATGTGACAGTCTGCTTCCATAGAGATTTACGGCCTTGGAAACCCTACGGGGTCACTATGAATTGAAATGAGCTAGACAGCAGTGGGTGAGATTTTCTGTGGTCATTATGCTGTCAGAACCACATAGTCAAGGGTGACAGTGCCATTTTGTGTAACATGAATTAGCCTGGGCATGAGAGGACTGCTTATGGACATGTTTGACTATTGTTATCTCATTAAATTTTTGTTGCTTTGACTTAGTGATTTACAATTTTATTTGCATTTAAAGTTTTTATCAAATGAAAGTGCATTTTCATTTAGAAAGAGTCCCATCAAAGATGCCCAGCTTTGGTCCTGAGGAGCTCCCACAAAGGAGAGGAATCATATTGCAGGACAGTATGGGGTTCTTGAAGTGACTAGCGTAGGGTAAGCCCTAAGGAAGTGGATGATTAACACAGATAATTTGACAAAACAGACAGTTTTCCTGCTCTGAGGAACAATAAAATTGGCTAACACCATTGGCTTAGTCCTCAAGGGCTTAGACAGGTGGTTCAAGATCTATCCATGAAAAATGGCATCTATGCCCTACCTGGTGTTTCATAACATAGAATAAAAGAACTGGTACAGTAATCAACCCAAAGACCTCCAAGAAGTGATTGGACTTGAGAGGCAGCTTTGACTAAAGCTCATTTTCCTGGAGAACTGGATCCCCTCCTCAGGAAGCAGGAATTACAGGGCAGCCCCAGGGTGCCAGGGTCCATTGGAATGGTTTATTGAGAGTGGTCTTTTGGGATCCCAGAGTCCTTGAAGCCCTCTCTAAGGAGACCGAGACATCTTCTAACCTAGAAACAATGTGCATCCCACACAGAAACTGAGGAGGGGATCCCTTGTGCCCTGACCCCCAGGATCCTTGGGTTAAAACTCACATAGCCCTTCACTCTACTCAACCGCCAGTGTGGAATAATATAAGTACTGGGGTTTAGGGGGATCTGCTCTGTGCCATCCAGGGTTACAGTGCTAGTTACTACCAGTGTGTGAGTGTGGGGAGGTGGGGTTAGTGGGACCTTATCTTGCCCCTCCAAGGAGAATCAAGACAAACACCTCTCCTATCCCTTTGGGTTCTAAGTATGAACACTGCTGAGTTTTACCTGGTGGGCAGGGCAGAAAGATGCAAAGTGGGGGAACATCCTATTTAAACCCACACTCACTTTTACAGAGGAGCTTCCCTTGCTGCCCTGTTGGGGTCTTCAGTGCTATCCTTTTCTGTCCTCTTCCAGGATGGGGTCTGTCACCATCTTCTCCCTTCTCAGAGCTGCTCTCTTAGGTCAGGGACAACCCACAGTTTGGGGTTACAGGGGTTGGGAAGAGGTAGCCTCTGGTCTCTGAGTCTTTTTTAGCCACATATGTCTGCAGCCAGGTACAGCTAGTGAAATCAAGCACAGAGGTGAAGAGGCCCAGGAAGTCATTTAGGATCTACTTTAAGACGTCTGGATACAGTTTTACCAGATACTGGATCAGCTGGGTGCGTCTAATTCTTGGATGTGCTCCCTACATCTGCAGAAGAGGAGTATGTTGGAGACAGCTTTTCCTGTTAAGCCAGACACCTGGAAAGTGCCTGGAGTAGGAGGTGAGGATCTACCCTCATGGTACAGATACCTACTATGGCCAGTTTTTCCAAATTCAAGTCAACATTTCCATGGACAACTCAATCAGCACCACCTATTTCCATGGAGCAGCCCGAAGGTCATGGACATGACCTCGTATTACACTCTGAGGGATACAGAAAGGAAAACCACATTGTGAGATGATAACATCTGTGCAAAAGACGATAGACAAGCTCAATATCACAAGTCAGAACAATGCCAGGGGACGACTGAGGAAGAGAATGTTAATTGCTCTTGTGAAAATCCAAATAGAAGCTGAATAAAATTAAAGTCTCAGCCAGCCATAGCTGCAGGGTGAGTAACTTTCATGTTCTTTTATTGTACACTGAATAGACATGCATTTTATATAAGAATACGTATGTAATGATATACAAATCTCTACAAACTGTATTTTATTTGGCATAGTATTTCCTCTAAAGGATGTATCAGAATCCATTTATCATATTAATGAATGGTCTATAATATGTGGTAATTACTAGACCATGCATTCAACAAATAACTATTTTCCTGGTGAAAATTTACAGAGTAAATTAGGATCTCATTTAACAATTTCTTCCCTAATTCTTCAGTGACATTGGCTACTTTTTTCACAATGTGTCAACACTTAACATTAATTCTTTTCTGGTTATATTATTTTCAGTAATCTTTTCTTGTCCTCTTACTTTCTCATATTTACTTTAGAGTAATTGTTGACCCTTTGGTCTTATATAGATGACTTTTTTTAAAGGAAAGCAGAAGTCATGGGTTATACACTTTATTTTATAAGCCAATATTTTTTTTTAATGTAAGGATAAACAGGGGGGATAGTTTAGGCTCAAGTTTAAATAGTATCTCATGGCAATATTCTCGGGGTGAACAATTTCTTTAAATAAAAAATCAACCAGAGTCACACAAAAAGAAATGCATAATCTGCCTAAGCCTATAGGAGCCCTGGCAGGGTAGTGGTTAATAGCTTGGCTGCTAAACAAAAGGTCGGTAGTTTGAATGCACCAATCACTCTTTGAAACCCTGTGAGGAAGTTCTACTCTGTCCTATAGGGTCTCTATAGGTTGGATTTCACTCGGCAGCAATGAGTATAAGTCTGTATCTAGTAATACAAGCAAATAGAAATGGCTGTGACCAGGTGGTTTCACTGGTGAATTGAACCAAACACTACCATCAACACATATAAAAGTATTACAAAAAATAGAAGAGGACAGAACAATTCCTGATTCTATGATGCCAGCAATATGCAATTATTAAAACCAGGCAAATGCATGATTAGAATGGAAATTCTAATAATTTGTTCATTTTAAATGCCTCTTTTCAGCAACATAAATTGTGAATATACATGTGGACCTCTCCAGATGGAATACACAGGAATCAAATCAACAACATCGGTTGAGAAGATGATGGAGAAGCTAAATATCATAAATCAGAAAAAGGTCAGGGGTCGACTGTGGAACAGACAATTGCTCCTGCGAAAGTTCAAGTAGAAGCTGAATAAAATTAAAACTTGTCCACCAGAGACAAAGTACGATCTGAAGTATATCTCACTTGAGTTTAGAGACTATCTCAAGAATAGACTTGACACATTGAAAACTAATTATTGAAGACCAGACAAGTTGTGGGATATATCAAGGACATCAGACATGAAGAACCCCGAAAGTCATTAAAAAGACAGGAAAGAAAGAAAAAATCAAAATGTATGTCAGAAGGGACTCTGAAAATTGCTCTTGAACGTAGAGTAACTAAAG